TTCTTTTTTAAAAATACACAATTTTCAACTTTATTTAAAATTTTACACTTTTTGGTTTTTGAGTAATAACGTTATCCACATTTTTTTACATGAAAACTTCTAATTTTTTTAGTCAATTCAATAGATTTTTTAATTTTCGAAATGAAAACACCAAAATATTAAATATGACGTAAAGATTTCGAAAAAAATCACGAAAAAAAGTGAAATGTCAACAAAAAACAAACAGACAATTTTAAATCAAGTTGAAAATTTTGTATTTTTCAAAAAATTGATTTGTTGAAGCATTTTTGAAAACAAAATATTTTCAGTTTTAATAAATAAGATAATTCCATAGTTTTGCCACTCACTGTACAGAGTGCGCCAGAATTCGTGCCCCAGAGAAAAATTCCATGTAAGGTAAGATAGCAGGAACATGAAAAAAATATTAAAAAAAAATTATTTATAAAAATTTCGAAGTTATGAGAGTTTAAATTTTGCACTTTGACTATTTATTTCTGTTGGAAAAATATTTTCCAAGTTTTTTTGCTGCAGGTTATTAGAAGAGGAAACAAGGAAACTGTATTTTAAATAATTATAAATAAAACTAAATAATAAATAAATATATCATTAAATAGATATAAAAAATGTCAAATGTCAAATTTTTTTGACAGATAGAATTTTTTAAACATTTTTTCCATGTTCCTGGTACTTTATCTTCCTTTAAATTTTTCTCTGGGGCGCAAGTTCAATATACCCTGTATATTGAGTTTAACCAGAAACAATCTCTAATTTCTAATTTATCAAATAGTTTTGCAATAAATAAACTTAAAATTCATCCTTGTGTGCAAGAACTAATCATCTTTTCTAAAATTGTATTTATTTTAAATACAGGGTGATTTAAATAGTTGCGCAAAAATGCTTAAAATTTTGTTAGATATAATTATAAAGGAATTGCGATCTCGATTTTAACAGGAAAATACGTCTACAAAAAAGGACATCAAAACGGAGTTTGGATTTTTTGAGCACTTTACTCCAAAGTTTGAATAAAAGACTAGTTCTCTAGTACTAGCTTTGTAGAATTAGAAACACATTTTGAAACAATAATTTGTACACATTTTTTTTATTGAGGGCTTAAAGTTGTGTGTTTTATTTATTTACTTACGAAAATTGAATAATATAATGCGCTTTTTGAAACTTATTACTTATTAACGTTTTATAATTGTAATTTATCTTCACCATAAAAATGACTGAAAATAAACATTATTTACAGTGACGTAATTATTTGTTTATGTAGTCGAAAAAGTAGCTTCACAGCTGCTTCATCTGTTGAATAAATCATCATTTTTTAAGTGTTGAGTGATGTACAAGCTTTTCCGCAAACTGTGAGAGAGAAATAATTCGATTTGTGTCTCGAATAAACATCAGTAAAAATGTCACTTTCACTATCTTTTAATTTTTTGTGTTTTCTGAAAGTAGATTTCTGAATGAAACAATAATGTATGTTCAAGACGACAAAATCTTCTTTTTCCTCTGGCATGAGCGTCTTTCTGGATTTAGTTACTTACAAGCAGTATCATTGTCAATGCCAAGCCTCGTGATGCAGTGCTCATTAATCTACATTTCAGTGCAATTTGTAAGCACACAATTGTATCGCTGCTATAAATTAGCGAGTTTACAGCAGGTGCAGCTTAATTCACACAAATTTCATTACAAAGACTAAGAACCGCGAGTTGATTGGAATATCGAGGCCGCAGTTAATTGCTTTGACCCGATTTGAGAATTATAAAGTAATATAAATCGTCATAAATTAATTGTTATTAATCTGCGAGAGAAGAGGGCTTGTCACGACGAGGAAATTAAACCGTTTCGATTCGAGTCAAAATTAATAAAGTCTCCTCTTCATTTATCTAATTAGCGCGATTTTAATTTTATTCATCACAGACTGGAAATTTCACTCAATTTACACACGCGTTTCCTGTCAGCGCTTCGATTTGTCTTAATTCGGGCCAATGTGCACTTAACTAATCTTGGCCAATAAATCACAGCTCTTGCCACCAGATGTTAAATTAAACAATTGTGTAAAAAAATATGCGATAGTTTATTCAATTTTCAAGTCACGTCCCACGTCGTAAAATCAACATAATAATAAATGTGAAATATCGGAGACGAAAAAATGTAAAATTTTTAACAGCGAAACCGTGTACGAAGCCGAAAAATGCTGATAAAACGGCGCAATAAATCAAGCGCATCATCAATAAATTTAAGGTAAACGCACAACGGTCCAATTTACATAATAAATATTGACGGCGACCAGGTAGGGACCAAATTCACAAATAAATTACGGTCAAACTGATGGATATTTATTTTTCTCCGGCTTTAATTCGCTTCAGAAAACGGAATTTTTACCCATTTTCCAGTCGACAAGGCAATGCATGCTAAAGAGCTGTTTTAACTATGAATTAATAGATAACATCGGGTCATTAGCTAAGCTCATTTATTAATTCTATCGAGCATAAAGTGCACGAAAGAAAATTAATAAATATGGACGATAATTATGAAGAATTGTTTAATTTCTAAATTTCTCGAGGGTGTATTTTTCGGGAATTTGTCTAATGTACCCACATGTAGGGACTCATCGTCAATAAATTCTCCAACTACTTCCCCTTAGTGCAGCTGCTGTTTGTGTGTTTAGTTTCAATTATCGGCATTTGCAACTTTTGCTTTATTTAGCATTGATAGATGCCAAAGGGAGGATTCACTTAATCTAAGCAGGAATAAAAGCCCTTTGGAATTCTCTGAATACCTCCAGTGTGACTACAAATCACATTCACTAACTTAAAACACTACAAGTCAAATAGTTGTAGATGTTTATAACCAAATTCTTACTTCGCAAGGTAAATTTTTGCATCCATATAAGTTGTGGAATTTTTCTTTTAGTTGGTTGTAGATTTTTTGTACATATTGTTCGTACAGATAGTTGTAGATTTTTAAACTGTAGATTAAACGTTTTAAACTCTACACCACGTTTTAATATAAGTTTGTATATCCTTTGTTGTAGAATTTTTAAGTAGCTAATTGTAGATTTTCAATTATAGATCATGCATTTTAAACACTACACCGCGTTATAATATTAATGTAATAAAATCAGTTTTCTTTCATATTGTAGATCTTGTGTTATAATTTTTTGTATGGATAATTGTAGATTTTCAAATTGTAGATCATACATTTTGAACCTTAGGTGTATTGCATATAAATTGGTTTATAACAGATTTTTTTTCATTGTAAATTTTTCATTGTAGAGTGTTTAAACTAATTCAATAATTTTTTTG